GGGTGGTGTGTGTAGACAACTAGAATCTACTAAACTCAGCATCGATATTTCGGAAAATAGTGCTCTGAGTTCATGCCGACAAAAAGTTTAACAGGTGCTTCCTGCGACAGAGAAGAAGGCAGACCCAGTGTTATAACATCAGATTACATAACAATGAACAAAATTACATGAGAGTGTATATGACAAGGCTATCAAATTCCTGATTCCAAAATTTGAGAGTTCCAGTAAATTCAGGACAGTTGATAATCCTGCTTCTCTCAACTGTTCACACTGGGACTCACCACAGGCTGCTGGGTAATGCCAACCAAGTCCTTGACATTGTAGAACTGATGCTTCTCGAAGGCATTGAACAAGATATCCATGACTTTTTCTTTCTCTGCTCTCGACCTTTTGGCTTCCGTCTTTTTCGCTTTTCTTTCTTCAACCTGATCAGAAAAAAAAGGCACAGTTAATTTTTCGTGAAATTCAGCCAAATTCTAACAACATTTAGTCTGCTCACAACTCGTTATACTTATACCTCCAAGCCCTCGCAGTGTTCTCCTGTGTTCGGTGTTGATGATAAGTTAGCTCAGTGGTAATGTGTCTGCCTTTTATGCTAAAGAGTTCCTCAGGGTTTTCAAAATTCTTCACCACATGGTTAGCAGGATCAACAAGCCTTCCTACTTAATCTTCACTGATAGGGACAAAAACAGAAGGCTGAAGGTTTCTTGAGCACGTTAAAGCTTGATACATGAAAATCTCTCGTATTTCGACAACTGCACAAATTTCTTTAGCTCAACCTACAGTGCCAATGATTATAATCAATATTATACATATATTCCTACCAGACTGTAGTGTCTCCTGTTCTTCAGGCAGCCATATGCTGAATTGATTGAAAAGCTAAACTTGAACTGACTTACATTGTTGTAGTGGTCACTGACTGGTTTGTAAGACTGCACAATGCCAGGCAAGAGTTTTATCTGACGAGCTGGAGTGTTCTGGGCCTGTACCTGCTCCCTGTAAGGACAAAATATGAATCATAAAACTATTGAAACTGATATTATACCTTTTTGTCTTTGAAAGAGTACTTTTCTCCCCAGAAGGACGAAATAGATGTCCAAAATTAATTAAACTGACCACTTTAACACCTCATAATCTTTGAAAGAGAACATATTTCCCCATTAGCAAACAATTACAAAAAATATAGTAACTGAGTATGAAAGTACAATAACATAATTTCTCTTTGAAAGAATATGTTGCAACCTGTACACAGCCCACACAGAAGAGAAAAATAGTGAAAGATATAAGAAACATCTTTTGGTCTTTTTATGAAAATCACTATTTCTTTCAATAAAGAATATAATCTGTAACTGCTCTTTGTTAGGGTATAAAATACACCTTTTCGTCTTTGAACAAGCCAATGACTTTATTTATAGGTACACTTACTTTTTAAGTAACCTGTAGTTATCGTCCACAATGGGATGGCATTCTGCCCTCTGTAACACCTTTCCTTCCACACAAATTTTGTCTGTTGCAAAAGGGGAAAAAAAGAAAGAAGTGAAGGTGTGAAAAACTTCCCTCTGCACAATAAAAAAATTCAGTTACGTTGAGATAACACGGGCGATACAAGCTAATAGAACCACTGGAATAAAATAGAAGGAACAGACCACACACAAAAAAACCCACCCACCAACCAACCTAAAAAACTTCACACCTAAATGGCAGGAAATTTTTGCCAACACACAATACAAAAACATTTTGCAACACATTAAAAGCAGTGTCGGAATTTACTGCTATAAGTATGTTCCTGTTACAGCTGAAAAATGTTACCGTAAGACTAAACTGATTAGAAATTTATTAGCTCGAATACCCGATTATGAGATTAAAATTGCTCTGCACAGGTCAACGCCACTGAAGGAATATCTTATGAGAAAAAGAACTTTTAAAAATCACAAAAATTTTGAAAATATAACAGAGTAAAACTTAATATGCATTCAACATAAAACGAGTCAGTAAACATATTGAGTTTGTATAGGCTTCACACTTTTCTGTCTCTCAAAGAATAATGATGAGTCTCTACCTGACGCTGGGTCTCTTCCAATATTATCTGAAACATCAAGAGAGAAAAGAGAAAAACTGTCACCAGTTTGCATTTGGTTTAAAAAAACAACAATACCAACAACTGGAAACCACATTTATTACAACTATACCTCAACATACAGCAAATAAGGTCTAAAAAATGTGTTAAAAATTCTGCTCAATCCCCCACCCTTCCCTTCCACCATATTAAAAAAAAAAAGTTTATTGAGCTGTATGGGGACATTTTTTTTTAACAACCACCCAAACAAAAAAAACCCCCAAACAAACAAACAAGCAAACCACCCAATGCCCAATGCATACATCATTTGCTGCAAGCTACAATGGTGTCAAATCAACCCAATACTTCACAGGCTTTTTATCGCCAGACGCACCTGACTTAATTTGTGACATGACCACCAAGTTTTGATTTGCGACACTGGTCACCACAAACTTGTGGTTGCGAATGCTTGAGTTGCGTGCAGGAGGCTTGGGGGCGACGGGGAGGGTGCTGATAGGTGCCGAGGGCCCAGATGCCATCGCCGTGGCACCCCCTGCCTTTGCAGACACATCATAGCTAGTGAACACAATATCTGGCTTCTTGTTTGGAATTCTGGGAATTTATTTCAGAAAAAAACCAAAAACCAAATTACAAAAGTCAAGATAAACATGAAATATTGAAAATTTTCTTACACCTTCAGGCTTTTGCAATATCAGAACTTCATCATTATGAATATTTCAAATATTTCAAAAGAAATGTCAGTGCATGGTAAACTGAGGTTCCAACCCACATGGAGTTTGAATTTTGATTATCTGTGAGGGGATATTTCTTCTTGGCTTATTGCCTCTCCAGGGTGTAAAGCTCCCTTTTAAAGTAAATAAAAAATGTGTCTTGTAGGATGGCCAATCTCAGTAAAACTGAATAAAAAGACTTTTGGACACAAAATAGTGCTAGGCTAATATATTATATCAAACTGTTAAGCCACTTTAAAGGTCATTACATTATATAAACCATTTTCTTATTATACAATATTGAAAAGCAGAAACAAAATTTCAAACAAAATAGAATTGACAATAATACGTATGCATTTTTTTTAGTCCTAAATAATTTTGCTGATATTTCTCTTGATCTCTTACATAATATGAAAAGCATTGCATAAGTTGTATAACTCACTTTGGTTTAGAAATTTTGAGCTTTCCAACATCCTTTCCACTGGGGCACTTCTTCCATTGCTCCGACAAATATTTTGGTACCTGACACAAAAACATACACAAACCACTCATACGTGTTTATATTTGTACTTGAAGGAACTTGGTTAACAATGATACAACATACAAAGAACAATCAATAATATCATTGCAAGTCTAGAAAGCATGACTATCTTCTCCTGAGCAAGGGTTATTGTATTTTGCTCACACAAGAAGAACTTCATCTTCATACATTGACCCTTCAACTAAAAACTGTTTCAATTATGTTTAAGATTGCTCTTTGTTTACATTTAATTAGGAATACAATATATTATAATGACGAAACCAATAAAATTTTCATAATCAAATAAGGGGTAGAACAATGATGAAACCTTGTATATATCCCAAAAGCAACTTGACAATGCACTGTCATATAAAACAAAAGTGTGAACTGATGAGAAAAACTATGGTTTTCCATTCTCCCCTCCATGGGATTAATCAAGATGATAAAAAATGAAGCTGAAGAGCTTAATTCTTAAGACTGGGGTTTATGTTACAAAATAAAAAATAAGGCAATGGTCCTCAGAATTTCCAGTCCGTACACTATCCAGTAAAGAATAAAGACAAACACTGTGAGTAAAAAAGTGTGGTCTATTTTCACCTTCCTGGTCAATTCTAAAACAAGATTAACTCTGAACTCTTCATATTTTTTTCTTCAAAATCATTCTAATGGAACTTAGCATCGTTTTAGAACCAACCACTTCAACGATAGTCACCTTAAAAGATATTGACCTTTAAAAACATCCATTAATGGCAATACACAACCAAGTTAATATCTGCCAAATCTTCTTCCTAAAGTACTTATTCTAATACAGCTTACCTTGACAAGCCATACACCTCTACCAGCAGCAGACACATCTATGTCTCTGGGCTCATGCGCCCTCTCAATATCAGAAGGCGAAGGGTTTGACATAACCTGTACAACAGACAAAAGTTACAGAAAATTAGAATCAGTGCAAGTAAAAAAAAAAAGGCAAAGTATTGATATTACAGCTTAGATTACAGTACTGTTATAAGTTATAAGGAGGTTGATACTAATGCCCCAAAAATAGTGTAAATCATATACAGCAACGCAGCCACAATTAAAATCTATAATAACGAGCGTTAGCAGACAAAGCACTTTGTAAGCCAGTCTCACTAACTGCTTTCGCGGAAATCCAAGGACAGAATGCCTTGTTCTGGAAATGAAAAGTGCTGGATTGCAGACTGACATCTTTACACATTTGTAGAATTTCAGTAAATATCTCATTCTTTCAACTGTCTCAATAATGGTCATTTTGGTTTCAAGTGTAGTGAAATGAAATGTACTCTCTATTACATCAATGTGTGTTTTGAAATCTGGATGAGAAAACAATGACCTGGAGATTATTGTTCACTGGTCAGCAGCTGAAAGACAGTCAATCTACAATAAAAAAAACCCTACTACTATAGTTAGCATATTACACACAATCATCCACACTTTCTGCCCACATGATCACGATGTATGAAGAACGAAGAATGTTTCAATTAAATATACAGTGACCAGTTGGCACATATATATGGCCAGCTCTATTCGGACTCGAGTCTGATTAAATTTTTTTTATCTACTCAGACTCGAGTCTGAATATGGGTTTTATCTATTCGGAGTTGGGTTGAAAAAAGTGGGTTTTTTAATTCAGACTCGGCTTTTAAGTGATTTATGTGAGTGTAAGGAGGTACGAGGTCTGTCTCAGAATAAAGTTTCCTTCCTCCATAAAATCCAAAGTACACAACCAACAGACGCTAAATTTTGTGACGTCATGACATCATGTCTAAAAAATCTCAACGCCATAGTGCAAGGGCATTGGTGCACGGGTTATAGAGCTGTGACGTGTCAAGTGTGGTGCTCTTGTGCACTTTGTCCAAGGCAAATTCGAGGAAAATGACTGAGCAAAACATTGGTGCAACCTACTCATGCTACGATGTCCGAGTTGTGATCAAATTTTCAAAGTCTGCAGCTGAAACCCATGGTGATCTATACAAAGTAATAGGGAATAATGCCCCATCAATTCAAATAGTAAGGAAATGGATCAGAGAGGTTGAAGATGGGAGGTCTGACATGAAAGATGAAGCGCACACAGAAAACTCGGGCAGAGAAAAGTGATGCACCACATTGGGTTTTTTTCGACATGAGTGACATACTGAGCTGGCTAGTCACACCTGGCGTAACTATAACTATCAATGGTGACTACTACAGATTCGTCCTCAAAGAGAAGCTGGCACTCGCAACCCGGGCAAAAGACCCGCTTTGCTTGAAGAAGGCGTCATCCTGCATCATGACAACGCGCATGTTCCCAAGTCCAGAGTTGTGAACGAGCTTTTTTAGGGCTACTCGTGGGAATTACTGGAACACCGGCCCTATTCGCCCGATCTCGTTCCATTCAACTTCCACCTCTTCCCCAAGGCGAAAGAAATGCTGCGAGGTCGGCAATTTGAGGACGAGGACCAGACTCAAGAGGCTATAAGTAAAGCACTCGGGACCTTGGACAAACGATCACTGGCCACTGTCTTTGACCGCTCAGTACATCAAATGGAGAAATGCCTTGAACTTGATGATTCCTACGTTGAATAGGTATTTGAATAAGCTTTTTCTTCGAGCGCAGCTTATTATTATTAGGCTTATTTGGCTAATCTTTAATCCTATAGAGGCCTGTCTAGTGTTTTACGGCATTTACGCATGTCGCGCATCAGGCCTAGATCTAGATCTACCTAAACATTACACGCAGTCACTCAAACTCAAACACCAGTCAGAAACCTTCTATCAAAGATACATTTCCAGTGACCAATCAAAAAACATTTCAGCCCAGCCCTAGACCGAGACCTGTGCGTCAGTAGGAAAATTGGGGCCACCGAAAAATCACCACGGTGACTGGCGAGCTGACTTAACATTTTCCTGGGGTGTCCATAAATACATCCATGTAAATACCTGTATAATATGCCCTCTGTCTGTCTCTCTGCGAGTGTGTGCGTTTTATCAGTTTTCTTTTTAAAATAAATCATGAAGTATCACGTCAAGCACCCCTAGTCCGAGTGTCTAACACCCCCCCCACCCCTTCCCGATAGGTCCCGAAAGACGCTTCAACCAGCATGCATGAAACAATAACACCCTACTTGTGACACCTGTAAAATCATACAAATCATATGGAGAGAGATCTTTCTCATATCTTGGTCCATTTATGTGGAACAGATTACCCATGAAACTAAGACAAATAAAAACACTTGATAGCTTCAAAAGACATCTTAAACATTTTCTGTTCCTACAGGCCTATCCTTCATAAGCTTTTAACGTTATCTTTCATTATAGTTGTTCTGTTTTTATGTCTGGATGAAAATAGTCTGTGTGTGTGTATGTGTGTGTGTGTGTGCATTAATGTATTTTGCACGGGAAGAAAGGAAGTAGTAAGAAAGGTTTTTGAAAAATGGGTATTCCAATGTAAAGCACATTGAGCCACTTTTTTGGGAAATGCGCTATATATATGTTATATATTATTATTATTATTATATTATTAAGTTGACCCCGTCAACTGATGGTCCCCAACACACGCACAACTCACACGCCGAAGTCATGTCACGTGGTGCGAACCTGCAATTGAAACAGTTTCACTGACGGGTTTTGATACGATGGGCCCGACCGAAGATATCGGAACTATTTTTGGATGCCTTGGGCCCGAATAACCAGAACTCGGACAAAGCTTGTTTTGAAAGTAACAGCAGAACTCTGAATAATATTGATCACTTGTCGCAATTGAAACATTTATCAAGCCATCATTGGAGAATTCTGAGTGGGAGTAGATCTTGAAAATGTCCCAAGTCGGAATACCAAATCGATACTACTTCGAAATAACACGTGTTAGCCTAGCAAAGATCCAACACAACTTCCAGGAGCAAGTCAACAACTAAGTCCGGCATCAATACTTCGCAAAATAGTGCTCCGCGTTTCTACTGACAAAAAGTTCAACGGGCGCTTCCCACACTGTGTAGATCTAGAGCCGGTCAATTGACGTCACATGCCGCGTCTCCATACACACTGCGCTGGCGAGGTGGGGGTGAAGAGGATCGGGCCTGATGAATGAATGGTAATGGCAAACTCAAGTAAGTCGCTTCAGTAGCCTTTTTATTAAAATTTGATGCAGATCAGATAATCTCGCCAACGCGGAATTCCGGGTCAGCCCTGAAATATAACACCCATGAGATCTAGTCTCTAGTAACTGGGTATTAAAGCTCATGTCTCGATAGTTATTATAAACGAAAAAAATTTTCATAGCAGGAAATGTTTAGGAAAAAGGGTCAGAAGATGAAAGTGACGTCATGCAGGACTCAATTCAGAGTCCGAATATAATTTTTGTCTAATCGGACTAGAGTCCAAATAGTCACTTCGATTTTTGGTATTCTTTTACTTTCTCTCCCTTCACACACTTGATTAACTACCAGTTGTCCATTTTCTACTAGATCTAAATATGGATGCGCTGAACAAGAATATCAACTTCTTTTCCGTCGCAAATTAACAGTTTTTGAAATATTTGATTTTTCTTAATCGAGCTATATTACACTAGATCTAGAACGGGGGGTTTCAGGGGGCCTGCCCCCCTGTTTCAAACCCACAGTTTGATATATTTTACAGTTTGGTTCGAAATGTTCTTGAAAATAATTGTTTTGCGACAGTTTTGGTGGCTTTATGTGTGATCTGCAGCAAACAACATAATTGTAGTTTGACCCCTGAAGCAGTGCATCTGTGTGCGGGAGTGAAAGTAAAAATTTACCAGATTTTTGGTATATATATGGCCATGCACAAGCCAAGAACACTTGTAATGCTGCGTGGACAAACTAATGAAGTTGCTCCCACCCTCGACAGCTGAAAATGTATTCGGCACACAGAATAGGCCAATATATGGCAAGGCATGACTTGAATGATCACCTTACCATCCATTATATATATATTAGTCATTGTGGCGATTGTTAAGATTTCCGCATTTAATTCCGATAAGCGCGTTTTTCAGGGTTAGGGTTAGGCTTAGGGTTAGGGTTAGAGGGGTGACTGCCAACCCGCCTTCTCAATGTTCCAGGGGGGGGCTCATCCGTTTTCCAGGGGCATGTTACGTAACAATGACAGCGCACGCTCCATTTATACATACACACACACACATGCATGTGTAGGTACATTATATCCAGTCAACAACATACATGTCAGTGTGGCACTGGGATACTGTGTGACTTATGTATTTCAGTCTGTTCTTTTTATATTTTCTCCTCATTCGCCTATATAAACTATATAAAAATGAATCTTGTTTTGAGCTTGAGAAAAGGCACAGAACCAGAACATCAACTGTCAAGAACCAGTTCGGGTGTCAAGATTTATATTTATATATTATAAACGTGAAAAACAAAAATTATTGCTCAAACTCAAAGAAGAGTAACAACTTGAATGAATGGCTCAAGTATAGTAAACCTATTTCATTATGAGAGGTGTAAGAACTGAGGGAGGGCAACAGTGACACTGAAAATCTGCGGATTTGAACAGAAAGCTAAAATATAGATGTTTAATACATGTAATTTACTATCACGAGAGAGAGACGAGAGAGAGAGAGAGAGAGAGAGAAGAGAGAGAGATAGAGAGACAGAGAGAGGGTAGGGGGGGGGGGGGGAGACAAGAAAAATGTCACTTGATGAGGTCACACCTCTATAAAAAAAAACAACCCACCAAAGACGATGAAACATACGTACTATCACCCATCCAATGAAGCACGAAACCTTCAATTAAAAAACATGGCTTACAAGGTATGAGTATGACGGATCCCTATTTCATACAAGGGGCCGGCACCAACACGCGCTTTGCAGAGATA